TTTTTTTTTTTTTTTTTTTTTTTTTTTTTTTTTTTCGATTATTTGCTCTGTTTTTCTGGTGAGGTGGAAGGCTAATTTTCAACGAAAAGTTGTAACTTACATTTTGAGTGATATGTATATAAAGAATCAGTTTTTGTTCAGAGTGCTTTGAAATTTTTATTAATTTTCTGTTAGAATTGTTTATTGGTTTACTTGATTACCAGTTGCGGATGAAGTAATGCAGACATTGGAAATTTAATAAGATTTTTAAATTTGGAAGCAGTGGAATTTTGATTTTACAGGACTGTTATTGTCTGATTGAGCCTTTTTTTTCTTTTTTTTTCTGGATACCTTTTATAATTGTTTGATCGATGCTGCTGAATATTTTTTCAAAGAGAAATCTGAGTAAATGAAACTGGCTTTTCTTTTTCGAAAAAAATTTTGTCTGATTTTTTGCTGATGACCTTTGTTCATTTGTTTATCAACCTTGGTACACTGGAAATGGTCGTAGGTCATTACGAAAATTTGTTCCGTTAAATGAAGAAGAATCGGAAGAAGAGAATGTGATTTGTTTTCAATTTTTTTATTTTTAATATACAGTTTTGTGCACTTTGTAACAATGTATTTCTTTGTATCGTGTTTTGTGAACTTTGGAAGAAAGAAGTTTAAAGTAAAAAAGTTGAAATTTTTTTATTTGCAATAATAACGGAATAAGGCGTTTCTTTTTTTTATTTATACTTGTTATTTTTCAGTTTCGGTTTGTTAGAACATCAGTGGAAAAAATTTAGTTTGTTGTTTTCATTTAATTTTTTGTATTGATAACATTGCCTGACGTGATAATATAGCAGTAGATGTGCGCAAAATTGTTGTAATTGAACTTGTTATATTCCATGCTGTTCTGATATTTATAATAAATATCTGAAAAACAATTGGGAAGGGCAGCAGTCATAAAAAAGAATAAGAGGAACAGCAAAGCAGCGAGATTTTTAGGCATTTTTGTTCTCTTTATTGTGAACATCAATAGCTGTTACGTAGTGTTATGTGAACGTTCAGTAGAGGAACACCTATTGGTTGCGTATGTGTGGAAAAAGCAACTGTGGATTTCGAGTGGTTTGATGACGTTGACTGTGGATAGTGGCGTATGTGCACGTATTGCCAATCGGTTTTGCCGGCCAGTGTTGTATCCAATGCATGTGAGCAGTTGTTAGTTGATTTTGTGTTTATGCGTGTGAGTGCGTGCTAAAACTACTTTACATATTTCTACCGCATGCCGATATTTCGTCGTCTGGAAGTAGTTGTTGATGTTTTTCTTTGATTTTATTCTCTTTTTTTTTTTTTTTTTTTTTTTTTTTTTT